GATAAAAGGAGATAAAGGAACTCTGTGTTGATTGTTCTCTAAATGTGAGTTTTCTTCTTCCATATGTAAAAAAGGAATAAAAAAATCAATTAAATTACGAGAGGCTTCAAGAAGTGCTTCTTTCGGAGTTAAACTTCCGTTTGTCCATATTTCGAGAAAAAGTATTTCTTGTTTTTCATTCCCGTTGCCATAAGAATGAATACTATGATTTGCATTTCGAACAGGCATGAATACAGCATCTATAGGATAACTTCCATCTTGAAAGTTCTGGGGCGTGTTTTTAAGATATCCTCGATTTCTCTCGATTTCTAATTCAATACACAAATCAATTGGTTCGATCAGGCTAGCTATATATTGCTCATTATCAACGATTTGGACATAAGGTGGTAAGACGATATCTTGAGCAGTTACATATCTAGGACCTTTGACACAAATAGATGCGTCGCAAGTTCCATATAGATTACTTCTTAATACAATTTCTTTCAAATTCATTAAGATTTCATGGACCGATTCTTGAATACCCTCTATGATAGAATATTCATGTGATACTTTATCAGATTTTACACGTGTGATACATGTTCCTTCGATTTCTGCAAGTAAAGCCCGTCGTATTGCAATGCCTATTGTGTCGGCTTGACCTTTTATAAGTGGAGATAGAATAAACCGTCCATAATAAAGACGTTTACTATCTGTTCTTGATTCAACACACTTCCACTGTAGTGTCCGAGTAGATACTGTTATTTTCTCTCGAACCATAGTAATAATATTTGATTAGATTAGATCATTGAATCATTTATTTCTCTTGTTTTTCTTGAAAATTATTCAATCAATAGGAATTTCTACACACGTCTTTTTTTTGGAGGTCTACAGCCATTATGTGGCATAGGGGTTACATCTCGTACGAAAGTTAATAATATACCACTTCTACGAATAGCTCGTAGCGCTGCGTCCCTTCCGAGACCGGGCCCCTTTATCATGACTTCTGCTCGTTGCATACCTTGCTCTACTGCCGTACGAATAGCATTTGCTGTTGCGGTTTGAGCAGCAAAGGGTGTGCCTCTTCTCGTACCTTTGAATCCACAAGTCCCGGCAGAGGACCAAGAAAACACACGTCCTCTTACATCTGTAACAGTGACAATGGTATTATGGAAGCTTGCTTGAACATGAATAACTCCTTTTGGTATTCTCCGTGTATTCTTAATCCGTACATTCTTACGGGAACCAATTTTGGGTATAGCTTTTGGCATATTTTATCATTTCATAAATATGAGTTAGAGATATATGGATATATCCATTTCATGTTAAAAAAAATTCCTTCTTTTTTATTTATTTTATGTTATGTATGTATGTTATTTCTTTAGCGAGTCTGATTATCCCTGCCTTTGTTTATGTCTTGGGTTAGAACAAATTACTATAATTCGCCCCCGCCTACGGATTAGCCGGCATTTTTCACAAATTTTACGAACCGAAGCTCTTATTTTCATATTTGTTATTCCTTGTCTTAAATTTGAATCTATTTATTGGAAGAAAATAAGTTTCTTGCAATTTTGTGCATCTTGTATGATATTCTCACGCAAGGAATGTTCAAGTTAAAAAAACAATTTATCCTTAGAAACCCTGTTGTGGAGGCGATAAATTGTGCGTCTCCTGCTTGAATCAGAATAACTTATTTTAAGTTAATTTGGACTCTAGTTCCTAGTAGTGTCCATAAAAAACTACATCGAATCATTCCTGAAACATAACCTAGAACCGTGCCTTCAGTATCTAAAGTACCTCGGAACATGCGGTTAGCAGGCGAGTAACTAATTAAATCTTGATGTATCCTTTTTTGTTTGTTCATTAGAGGTAAAAGTAAAACCTCTGCGAAGTATAAACTAATGTAGGAGGAACAATATTGGACAATTCATCTCTTTTCTTTTGTTTTTTTTTTACAATTACAAATAGTACGTTTCAGATCCAATTTGTATATTACACGGACTACCATATATAACACAAAATCTCTCCGCCGATTCCCTCTAGCCGGGCTTCCCGGTCTGTCATTATACCTCGAGAAGTAGAAATAATTACAATCCCCATCCCGCCTAAAATTCGAGGAATTCGTTGAGAGTTGGAATAAATTCGTAGACCGGGTCGACTGATCCGTTTTAAATTTAAAATATTTCTATAGGGTATTTTTGTAGTTCTTCTGTGTTGTAATGTTAAAACCAAAAAATTTTTGTTATTTTCTCGATGTGTTCTCACATTTTCAATAAAACCTTCTTGTAAAAGTATTTTAACAATCTTTTCCGTAATATTAGTAAAGGTTATTCGAACTACCCTTTTTTTATCCCTATCCGCATTTCGTATAGAGGTTATTATCTCGGCAATAGTATCCCTACCCATGGTAAGATAAAAATTTTAGTGAATCTAATTTTGATATAATCAACATGTTTTTTTACGTAGTTGTTTATTTATAAAGTTGTTTATTTATAAATATGACTAATCAATAACGATATATGCGTGAGATACAATCTTATTTCTTTCAAATACTCCAACTATACACGATCTTGATTTATAATACCTCGGGAGCTAATGAAACTATTTTAGTAAAATTTAATTGTCTCAACTCCCGGGCGATCGCGCCAAAAATTCGCGTTCCTTTTGGATTTCCTTCTTGATCAATAACAACTGCAGCGTTGTCATCATATCGTATTATCATACCGTTTTCACGCTTGAGCTCTTTACGGGTACGTACAATTACAGCTCTGACCACTTCTGATCTTTTTAGGGGCATATTTGGTACTGCTTCTTTAATCACAGCAACAATAACGTCACCAATATGAGCATATCGACGGTTACTAGCTCCTATGATTCGAATACACATCAATTCTCGAGCCCCGCTGTTATCTGCTACATTTAAATGGGTCTGAGGTTGAATCATATCATTTTGTAATCTGTTCTTTCAATGCAAAGGACGAAGAAAAAAAAGAAATATTTCTTGTCTAAAAAATAAAAGATTTGTCATTTTTCAAGACCCCTTTCATTTCTTTTGGTTGTACTTCTACTTTATTTATGTTTATCCCTTATCCCGAAATAATGAATTGAGTCCGTAGAGGCATTTTTGAGGCTGCTATTGAAATTGCTCTTCTAGCTATATTTTCTGTTACTCCGGTCATTTCATAAAGTATTCGACCGGGTTTAACAACAGCTACCCAATATTCGGGGGATCCTTTCCCCGAGCCCATACGCGTTTCAGCAGGCCTTACTGTAACTGGTTTGTCTGGAAATATCCTTACCCATATTTTGCCACCACGACGTACATTTCGTGTCATTGCTCGCCGACCGGCTTCTATTTGTCTAGATGTGATCCAAGCGGGTTCAAGTGCCCGAAGAGCATATTTACCGAAACATATATGATTCCCTCGATAAGATATTCCTTTCATTCTTCCTCTGTGTTGTTTACGGAATCTGGTTCTTTTGGGGTTATAGTTGATGGTTGTTTATGAATTCCATCTCTACTACAGAACCATACATGAGAATTTCTTCTCATATGGCTCCTCGCAATTTCATTTGAATAAAAATTGTAATACAAATACAAAAGAAATTAAATAAAAATTGATTTTACTTTTAACTAGTTTATCGCGAATCTTAGTAGTATTTGATATTCAACCTAATCTAGTACTAATTTGTGTATCCGGTTTGAGTTTGAATAGATAACGAATGGTTTTCTATTGCATAAATCGTAGGATTTCTTTATTGTATAAGTTTATTTTACTGTTCAAATTTAGGAATTAAAAAAAGAATGTTTTCGCGGGCGAATGTTTACTCTTTTATTTCAATTTCAGAATTGTCTAATGACTTCTCAGAATATATGAATTGATTTTCGGCTCGTTCCGCCATCCCAACCAGTGAATTATTAAGATTCATTTTTACTAAAATAAAATCTGTTGCATTCACGGCTTACATCGTTCCATCACTTCTTACTTAATGTTTAGGTTCTAATTTTACAATGGAGCTCATAATGAAATTTGTTCTCGAGTCAACTTTCTCAGTCTTTATTGACCCCAAGCTCTAAATTTTTTGGTTTTAATTCTAGTAATTCTAGTAACTATTAAAATAAAAAGGGTCGTTTTAATTTAATTATTGATCAATTCGTATTGATGCTTTTATTACACTGCCTTTTATTATATAAGTTTTTTTATATGCTTTTGCTTTGATAAAATCGCGCATAAACCCTACATATTGGAACTCTATATCATTTATTTTGTCTTTTTGTCTATCTTTCTCTCAGCCTTCCGTTTATCCACATATTTCTTCTCTATTTTGCTTTACAACTTAAGAAGTCTTTTTTGGCAAAAAAATTCAGTTGCTACAAAGATATGACCAATTTTTATTTATAACATCTTGACTGATTCTTTAGCTTTACATCGAGATAATATGAAGTGATGAATTGGTTATTAGTTCTAGAGTTATTAAGTTGCTATTATGTGGATGATTTATTGAATTCTAACCCTAAAAACCAACGAGTCACACACTAAGCATAGCAATTTTATCAAAGGTTCAATCGAATTTTTATTCAACCTTATAGAATTAAAATTAGAATTGGTAGTTTTGCCAAAAAGACCTAAGGGTTTTAGTTTTCTAGATAGTCTAGATACAAGGAAAAGAAAACTTCAATTTTATTATTCCCCATCTAGAAATATCCAAATTTTGATGCCTAATATACCATAGATAGTTCGAACTCTATAGGAACAATAATCAATTTTAGCTTGAATGGTTTGTAGGGGGACTCTGCCCTCTCTAATCCATTCCACACGTGCAATTTCTTTTCCGTCGATACGACCGGCAATTTGAATTTGAATTCCTTTTTTATTTGCTTGCTCAGTTAGTTCGATAGCTTTTTTCATTGCTTTTCGAAAGGAAACTCTATTCTTTAATTGTCCTGCTATATACTCTGCAAGAATGTTAGGGTTTCCATAAGGTTTTGCAATTTTTGTGATGGCAATATTAAGTTTTCGGTT